TAAAACAAGCTTACAAATACGTACAGGGAAAAAGAAATTACTGGGTTTTGTTTACTTACTGAAAAATATAACTAAGGGACTTCAAGTTATGCAATTACCAAAAACCAATCTTATAAAACAAGCTTACAAATACGTACAGGGAAAAAGAAATGCCAGAGATAGATCAAATATTTGAAAAGAACTAAATAGAACCACTAAAACTGAAATGTATCTAAATTTTAAAATGCAATGAAAGGCTAGAAAATTGAAGAATCCTCAATTTTACATGAAACCAAAGAGAGTCTATACCAACATGATCTATGGGTTATAGCCAGTACTATAATTGTGTGGAGAAGGTTTCCATTATGCATTAATTACACAGCAAAGCCTACAACTGACTCAATCTGTAGGGGAGATGTCAGCTGCAATGAGGTGATAAACAACGAAGGGAGTGTTTTAAACCTAGAAGAAAAATTAGGCATGGTCTATCCTAAGAATGCAGTCTGTCTACTTGTTTGACCTCTCTGTAGTAAGGCTAAGAAGAAAGGCACTAAAATTTACTTTGTGATTTCTTTGAATTGTCTACTATCTTCTATTATAAGATAATGTTTAAGTATTAGATTTGTAATATATTCAGAAGAATACTGAAAAGATCTGCAGAATGAAGAATTAAGGACAGACTTTCTTTTTGGCACTTCACAAATGTACCATTCAAACTTATAATTTATTAAAAAGATAAATAATTGTCAACTACTAAATATTGTGAGCACTGGATAACATCAAATTCACAATTCATAAAATCACAGAGTTAAAAGGGGCCTTAAACATCTTCTGATCTAAGCACAGTAAGAGGGAAAAAAATATATATATAGATATATAAATGCAATGAAGCTTCAGGGTAACTAAAATCAAGTCCTACGTGTAGATGTGACTATCACAAGCCATTTATCCCACTGCCAAATAGTCAATTCCAACTCATAGCAACCCTATAGGACACAGTAGAACTGCCCCATAGGGTTTCCAAGGAGCAGCTGGTGGATTTGAACTGCCAATCTTTTGGTTACCAGCCAAGCTCCTAACCACTGCACCACCAGGGCCCCATAAACTCTATAATTAGAGATAAATATACTAAATAAATTCACAGGTTGCCCAAAAACAAATTTTTAATTTCAGGTACACAAACCTCCCACTCCCTAATTATCTCAATGTGTTGCCCCTTCCTTTACTTTCTATCTTTCTCAGATATTTACTTAATACCCATTATAACAATGTGGACACAAATAAGAATAACTAGCCTTTGTCTCTGAGGAACTCACAATTTAGTTTCAAAGACACAGAAACCATGGCAAAGCAACAACAAAACAAAAACAAAAAAAGCAAATGTATATCATATTTCAAAGAAAATAAAAGATGAAAAAACTACTCTTGTGTATCAATTAGAAGGTGGAAGGAAGACACATAAATGCTCATATAAATACATTCTTTTAACAGTAGCCAATGGAATTAATTTCTGCATGAGTCTGACACCAAACCCAAAAACCCAAACCCACTGCCGTCAAGTGATTCCAACTCATAGAGACTCTACAGGACAGAAGGTCCTATGGGGTTTCCCAGGCTGTAATCTTTACGGAAGCAGGCTGCCACATCTTTCTCCCTTGGAGAGGCTACTGAGTTTGAACCACAGACCTTTCGGGTAGCAGCCAAGTGCTTAATCACTGCACCACCAGGGCTCCGAGTCTGACAAAGTCTTAGTTATATTATACAAATCTATTTCAAGAGCTGGGTCAGAATGATATTTCTTATTCATCCAATTGTAGATTATAGGAGGAATCTCACTGGTTAGTACATTCTATCAAAAGATCCACATTCTTTTAAGCCATACAACATCCGCTAGAATACTGAAAGTTCACTATAAAAGCCTAACAAAATATAAAAATTCTTCGTTCTATACTGTCACTGAACATTTTGCCATTCAAAAGTACTAAGGAGAAAATATTTAATACATAGATACACTAGCATGTGGCAAGTTACCTAGATTTTATAAAGCTATTTAAGTTGGAGGCACTTAAAACTCAATCCCGCATTTAGTAAAATCAGAAGTCAGCAAGTACTACAACTTATTTTTCTTCTCATTTTTAATCAGTCATAAGTTATTTAGAAGCAGTATGATTTTCCTTTTGGATGTGATGTTGCTTTTGTTTTCTTTCTCAAAGAACTGTCATTGTTACTTTACTGAGAAACAAGGGAGAGCATTCAGTCTTCTTTTGGATGTTATGTTACTTAGCGAACTTATTTCCTAGTTACCACTAAAAATATTTAACAAAAAATTTTCAATGCTAGACCATTAAGAGTGCAAAATATTACAATTATTCTAACAGTGAATTCAAGGCTTTGAATTTTGGAGAAGAGTTTGTTTTGTTCTTGATGGTTATGATATGACTTACAGGTCCAGTAATACACCCAACTTCATAATTCATATGTTAGGTATCTTCAGACTCCAAAGGACAAAACTACTAAGCTGGTTATCAGGAAACCTAGTTAGTTGTAATTGCTGCTCTGCAACTAACTAGCAGAGTAGCCTGTAAGGTTCTTTTCTCTCTCATTACTTTCACTGAGGAAAAGAGTAGCTAAACTACATATATTCTATATTCCCCTTTTTCAAGTCTAAAATTCTAGAAAATAATAAATTTCAAGTTCTCTCTTTAGATCACAAAAAATCACTATTGTTATATATGTTCTCAATAATACTACATAATTTGTGAGAAGAGCCTGGTAAAGTTTTTAATGGCTGACAATTGTTGAGGTCTAATTTGATTTTGAACATAACTTCGAGATGTGATTCAAGATTGTAAAATGTCAAAGGAAATTATACTCTTTACTGTACTTTGAATAAAAATGCATTGAGACTGAGTTTCATGCTAAATGGTGGGACATTTCAATTCTCTGCAATCAATGACTCCTAACACACTAGCCCACTATCATGCGAGCTCTGAGAAGGTTGGGATTGTTGTACATTTATCTAACATAGCACTTTGCTTTTAGTTACTGCTCGATAGGTGTTTGTTGAATTAACAAACTCAGTGTATACAGCAATCTCTCCAAATTCATCTAAATCTCTCTTACAGTTGGGGCATTAGCATGTCTTACTAAAAAATGATTAAATTACTTCTCATGTTGGGCGTATCCCAAACTCAATTTATTTTTTTAAATTATCTATTTTATTATAAAAATATATATAACACAATATTTGCCAATTCAAGATTTTTCAGGTGTACAATTTAGTGACATCAGTGACATTAATCATGTTGTACAACTATCACCCATAATCACTGCCAAATTTCCCATCACCAACAATGGCTCCCCTCTTCCCCTCCCTCTTGTCCCTGGTAACCACTAATGAACTCTGGTCTCTATTTGCCTATTCTTCCTATTTCATATAATTGAGATCATACAATATTTGTATTTTTGTGACAGACTTATTTTACTGAGCATAAAGTTTTTGAGGTTCATTTATGTTGTAGCACAGACCAGGACTTCTTTTCTCTTCATGGCTGAGCAGTATTTCATTGCATTTATGCACCATATTTTGTATATCCATTCATCCACTGATGGACACTCAGGTTGTTTCCACCTATTGTAAATAGTCCTGGAATGAACATTAGTGCACATGTGCCTGCTCACGTTGCTGCTTTCAGTTCTCTTGGGTATGTATATATCTAGAAGTAGAACTGCTGGGACATATGGTAGTTCTACGTTTAGGTTTTTGAGGAATCGCCAAACTGTTTTCCATAGCAGCTATACCATTCTGCATTCTCACCAGCAATGGATAAGGGTTCCAATTTCTCCAGATCCTTGTCAGCATTTGTTATCTTCCATTTTCACTTTTTATCTTAGCCATCCCAGGCATAGTAATGTGATATCTCATTGTGGTTTTGATTTGTATCTCTCTATCAAACTATTTATTTATAGCTAAGTGGGCAGACAAATATTTTATGAAATACTGTATGTTTTTAATTGTCAGGTATAACTCAAAAAATTAAAAAGCATGAATTAAAAATTTTGCTTTAGTCTTAACAGATTAATACACATATTGCAGACTGATAAATTACTAAGATTTAAATATATATTATAACATGTCTAGTTCTAATAATGCATCACATCAAGATATTATAATCACCCCCTCACTACAAACACCTAGAAATGCTAGGTAAAATATAACAAACACCTTCCGAAATGTATAGCTAACCAACAAAGAAAACAGTCATGGGCTAGAAATGAAGAAAAAAACATCAATCAATCAAATGACCTGGTGCTGTACTGGAAGAGAGTAGGAAAAGTGGTATGTAATCTTGAGATCTGGTTTTCATCACCCACACAGGGAAAGGGCACAAAGCAACTAGAACTGAGAAACCTGAATACACCTGGAATCTTAGAAAAGCCACACAATTTATGAAAGGATAAACTAGAAAAAACTTGTTTTTCCAATTAAAGTGTCAAGGAATCGCATGTACTTTGACCTGGCTCTGGAGTAGGGGATGAAAAAGAGTTCCCTGATAATTTGTCAATCAAGGGCCAACTCCAAAGTCATTCTGATGGCTGTTCGGATCTGAATTTAAATTTATACTACCCTGGTGGAACAGAAATCTTCAACTCAAGATTTTAACATAAGCACTGACTTAAGGCTTGTGATACTCCTGGAGTATGTGGCAAAAGCAATCACAAAACTACTCTGGAAGGGAAAAATCAAAACAAAACAATTCAAATTAACAGTTAACACAGGAGTTTCCTTTTCGTTAGGACTTTAAACAGAACTGTCTACAACTTTCCCCTAAAGATTGCAGATATAAAAGAATGGACCATATGCTGAAAAATTATACTTCAGACTATATGTAAAGCCTATTAACGCAGAAAATGAAATTTAGTTTTCTCCAAATAACAAATACTAAATCAGTAACTACTTTGAAATGGCATGTAAAGATAATCCTATGAGGGACAAAAAGCTAGTTTAGCAAATTACTTACTTCAGATCCTGCAGAAGGTCTTTTGCATTAAGCATGGTTATTAAAGAGGTGGTAGCAGCTGGAATTATGATAATTGGTGTTCGAGACCCTGTAAAGACAAAATTTTAAAGGCAGCAAATATTAAAAGGAAATAGTTGTTTTCTCTAATAAAAGTTGAAAGATTGTAAAAGATTGTAAATTTGAGTTAAAAAATATTTTAAACTTGGAGTGATATTCAAAATATTTAATAAACAGTATGGATTGAGTACTGATTTATCAGAATAGACACCAAGCACAAACATTTGATATCATGATATCAGCTCTGCTTTTGTAATCTAGCTTACCCACATTTCCTTTTTAATGTAAAATTAGAACCATTTATACACCCTCACCTTTCTTCTGATTTGGGGGAGGTCTTGCTTGGGAAACTGTATAAGGAAAAAAAAAAAATCACGATTTTTAGTATTATAAAAATCATACTCTTATTTTCAAACTTACAAAGCAAATAAGGCCTGAATATTGTTTGTACTCATGCGTGACTAGTTATAAAATTAAGGTAAAAAAAAACCCTACTGTAATCTTTTCAAATAATGTTATTTCTCTGTCCCACAAAAATATTAAAATTCCTTAACATTATTCAATAGTCTATAGTTACAAAAAAAGTGGATATACTATGGTGCTAGGTATTGAGTCTCTATGTTCACGATGATAAGGTCTAGCAAAGGAATATAACTTCATAACTAACTGAAGTAATAAATGCAAAAAAGCAGCACAGAGCACTACAAAAACATATAACACTGAAAGGAAGGTGGGAAGGTGCTAACTACTCTGGAGAAAAGAGAAAGGAAAGTTATTGGGAGATAAGAGCTAAAAATTCTTTCTTTTCTCTCTTTAAAATTGTTTTCTGTTTATTAGTAGAGAAGAAGAGCATTACAGGCAATGAGTCAAGTGTACATGAAGATCTATATTATTATATGGAATTGATCACATTATTAAAAACTTTTACCATTATAAAAATATAAATATACCTTTTATTATGTTTATATAAAATAGACTTTATAATGTATTGAAGTATTTGCTGGCATATAACAAATACTAGTTTTAATAATCTAGTTCAAGATGAATACATTTTCAGATGAAAAGTGTTGCATGTTCAATTTTCAGTATTTATTCATATAATAAAAATTTACTGACTGCCTTCTATGTGTCCTGTGCTGGCTGGAGTTTTTTTTTGCAAAAATAAATGTTATGTTTAAGATATTTAAAGACAATTCATCATCAGTTCTTAGAATACTACCTTCAAAGGGAATTACACAGCACACATACTTTTGAAATATGTTCTATTTTAAAGGCAGCAAAATGCTACACTGCCACTACTACTGTGTACTCTTTTGTATAGCCATTTCATTGTGATAAAGCACTACAGAGTTCAGCAGTATGATTCTTCCACATAAAGCAGAAACATACACAAATACAAACTCACACATACATATTTATTATAGTCTTTTCATCTCTCTTCTTACTGAGACAAAATACTAAAACTTTCTTAAATCATTTTTAGAAATAAGACAAGGGAATAATGAATAAATCTGATTATCTAGATAATGTCATGTGGCATATAATACATCCTCAACAAATACTTGGTATTTGTTTGAGGGAAAACGGGATGACAAGATGGACAGATAAACAGGAGACCAGAGTTTCTATGAGAATCACTAAAGGGAATGACCAAAAGAAAATGTGCATCTGAACTGCTACTGATTAAATGACAAGGGCCCACAAATAAGCTCAAGAAATTAGGAAAATACTGATTAAAATCAGGACTGAGAAGATCCAATGTAATAAAAAGAAAAAATACAAAAATTAACACATACTAAAAATAAAGTTTAGAGATTTAGTATAAAATAACTAAAAAAGAATATAAACAGGTTCCTTGGTAAGTAAGGGAGCATTGGTGGCACACTGGTTAAGTGCTTGGCTGCTAACCGAAAGGTCTGCTGTTCAAACCCACTAGCTGCTCCGAGGGAGAAAGATGTGACAGTCTGCTTCCATAAAGATTATAGCCTTGAAAACTCTATGGGGCAGTTCTACTCTGCCCTATAGGGTTGCTATGGGCCGGAATCGACACGATGGCAATGGGTTTGGTTTGGTTTTGGTAAATAACGATCATCATGATGGAGATACTGAAATGAACATGTTAATGATAAACTTGATTTTTATAAAATGGTAGACTAACAAGGCATCTGTGTGGCAGAGGATTAAGAAACAAGAGTCTATATTCAGGTAATCTAATTTGTATCCCAGTTTTGCCACTTCCTAGTCATATTATCCCGGTGAGTTAATTAACTGATCAACCCCAGCTCCCTCAGTTGTAAGAGAGAGATAATAGTTTCTAAAACTTAATATTGTTGTATTTTAAAAAATAAAAATAATGCATGTTAAGTCCTTAGCCCAGTTAACCCTGCAGTGATAGCGGCAGCTTCTGCTTCTACTACTACTATTTAAGCAAATGCAGTTTCCAACTGACAAGGTAAGAATATGTCAAAAGAAAAATCATTACTGTTTATATGTTTAATTTCAAATTATATGCTCTACTCAAGAAATATTTATTTGGAGTCTATGTCCAAGGCATTCTGCTAATTGTAAATAAAATAGAAATAATCCTTGCTCTCAAAGAACTTTTGAATAAAAGAGCAAGACTGTGAACAAATTAGCAAATAAGGGAATATTTAAATATACTAATTTGAATACATATTAAGGAGAAAAAAGGTGTATACACAGACAAAAAGCATCCTTTAGATAGAAATCCTAGGAAAAGACTCTCAAAAGAAGTGCTATTTAAGCTGAGATTTGAAGGATGAAAACAAGCCAAGTTCCAAAGAATAAGTGGACAGACTCCAGATAGTGTAGGAATGTGGGCAAATGTCAAAGCCAGGAAAGAACCTCCTGTGTTTATGGGACTGAAACAAGGCAAACCTAGAGGCCACAGGGAAGAAAGAGAAGAGTGGCAGGAGATGAGCATAAAAATATAAGCAGGAACTAATTCACATAGGGCCTTTTGAACAATGTTAACTTTGTATTTAAGTTCAGTGAAAAACCCAGAAAGGTTTAACCTGGAAACTGACATGATTCAATTTTCACATGACAGTAAAATGTAAAAAAAAAAAAAAAAAGGTTAAACAAAAATAAAAAACACCTAAAATGAATACAGTGTTGGTATCTACATGCAATGATAAAAATTAATCTTTTTAGGTACTAGAAAGAAGACAAAAAAAATCTTTGAAAAATAACTTCAATACTATCTTTGCTGAAGATACATTTTGAAGAAGGATTACAAAACATTATGGGCTCAATAACACAGATATCCGAAATTACAACCATTTATTAAAATTTATTAAAATTATGATGCTGTGCTTCTGTAGGAAAAAAGTCACAACTGCACATACTATCACAGAACTCGGACAGGTAACTGCTGAGTGGACACACATATATATAGCCTTTTAAAACATTCTTCTAAAATCTTAAACAAAATAAAACAATTTTCTTAAAAATGTTCTTTAACTCTTCAACTATATCTATTTATCCAAGTAAATGTTCTCATCGTATTACTTTGAAAGTCATTACTCAAAAGCATGGTGTTATATAACCTATTTTACCAAGGACTTCTGAACCAAATTTAGGAAAACATTACTAAAGAATACTACCCAAATTCAGTTGAGCTGTTTAAATACACTACACTTCGTTGCCATCAAGTCAGTTCCGACTCGTAGCGACCCTATAGGACAGAGTAGAACTGCCCTGTAGGGTTTCCAAGGAGCAGTTGGTGGCGTCAAACTGCAGACCTTTTGGTTAGCAGCTATAGCTCTTGACCACTGCACCACCAGGGGTCCTAAATACATTACGGGAAGATAAATAATTCAAAATGTTTTTCATTTAACTGTTTTAAAGTTTTTCTGATAAGAATATAAGGATTGGGGGGTTGGCGTGGTCATCATAGCGGAGTAGTTAGACGCTTCCTATAACCCTCTTACAACAAAGACCTGGAAAAACAAGTGATTTGATTCTATGTGAACATCTGGCAGCCCTGAACAAGGCAAGGTTAAGAAATCCATCTGAGTCATACAGGAGAGGAAGACCATTTGGAAGAGGTGAGGAGGGCTAGAGCCGCGGTAGCGAAACTGCAGACACAGCCACGCTGGTCTGTGGTGAAGCAGGCAAAGAGCTGTGCTGTGCACGTGCTTGGGAAGCAGCCTCCACATTGAGAGAGACCCAGCAGCAGACATTCTGCTTGGACACTCTGAACCAGTGAAGCCCAGCTCCCAAGAGGCTAGGATAAGTACATGCGTGCACCCTTTCATGGCGATTAAAAAAAAAAAAAAAAAGCCCATTTGGGAAAACCTCTCTCCCTTTTACCTCCTCCCTCCACGCTCTGCACTGGATTTGGGAAAAACCTCTCTTCCTTTTACATCCTCCCTCCACGCTCTGCACCGGGAGTCCGCTGGGCCAGAAGTAGATCCCAAAAGGCATCCTGACCCACTCTCCAGGCCGTGGAGAGGCAACCAATAAACTGCTGGCTCCCCTAGGCCAGGAACAGAGGGTTGGCACAGCTCCTTTGCTGGTCACAGAAATCAGGGGTCCACAGACTGAGTGCCTTACACCCCTGTATAGACTTGTGGGGACCCATCTCAACAGCGTTAGCCCTCACTACCACAATACAACAGGGCAAACATCTGAAGTTTAACTTCAACTTCTCCAGCTGTGAACGGGCAGATTTGTGACCCTCGAAACAGCCCTGCCCCTTAAGTAGGCACTTGTATCGATCTGCAGCAGGGTCTTGAAGACTGGTGGCAGCTCCTAAAGTGCCTAGTCAGCTGCTACAGGAGTTCAAGAAAAAGTGGTGCCCTCGAGTCTTTACAGCCAACAGAGGGAGGTGTTCTTAGCCCAGCTGAAATACTCACCTACCTACTCACCCTAGAGAATAGGGATATGCTTCCCGTTCAGACTCTCAGGGGCAGCTGTCAGCCCCCTGTCTGACTCAGCGCATGATTCCCTACCACAGCCAGAGTCCAGTGCCTGCACCAATCACCCATGCCTCTCTAGGACTGGGGGTAAGAGCCTGCATCACACACTTGGTGATCGACTACCTGAACACCTGAGACGAACCCATATAGGAAAATTTAACGGACTCCTGTGTGCACATACTTAGTTACAGAACTAAATACCTGCTGACAGGACATTAGAGATTGAAAGTTGTCAAAAATCAAACTAGTGCACACAAGCAGCCTATTTGGGAATATCAAAACAAAACAAAATAAGAAGCTAGGTCTCACTAAGCAAACACAAAATAAAATTATAGTAAATTATTGATGGCTCGGAGACAACAGTCAATATCAAGTCACGTAAAAGGCAGTCCATAATGGCTTCAGCA